AATTCAAATCTCGACGTCTACAACTCCGTATATAATTTTTTCTCTTAATTCCAAATTACATTATTATTAGCGTTGAGATAAATTAAAATAGATAAAAATATTAAGGGTCAATTAGAAGTTAACGACCCTAGTAAGTTAATTTGTAACTAATTGATAATATTAGTATCCAACTTTCTCAAATTTCATCTTTGAGGATCAATTATTTGAATGGAAAATCAGCCATGAAAACAACAGTTCCTTAGTTACCCCTAATATACCTCTATTTCTTGGGTGAGTGGTTGGATTTATTACTTTTCTTACAAGGGATTGACTGTAATAATATTAACTGAACCATTAGCTTCACTAATCAAAAGTTTTTCTTTGAAATCAAGAGATTAGATTGCGTGTTCTACTAATAGAAATTTAATGGATTGCTGAGTAAAAATGATTCTGGAGTAAGCTACAAATGGAGCTGTTGTGGAAAATTCGAAGCTTGTTTGATCATTAAAGTCAAATGGGTCATGCAAGCCATAAGTTGATAAAGTAATTGATAATTTACCACTAGTACTTATATCCCTTTGATTTAAACTTGAAATGGTGTCCAAAATTCTTCTATGTCACTCTTCTTCTGGCATTTGAAAATAAATAAGACCCAAATGGATTAAATTCAAAATAATTGATTTAAATATGGTTATCATTAATTAAGACTCCATTTGGATAGGTGCATTTGCTTCTTCTTTTTTTTATATTTGTCCCTTGTTTTCAGTCTAATTTATTTTTTATTTTTTTTATTAAAATAAAAAGCAAATAGCAAAAACACCAATGAAAGTATTAAACAGAGCCTTAAAATTATATTTATAGAAGCAATATGATTTTTTTCACTTTACTAAATGGATTGGAAATAGAGATGGCAGTAGTTTAGATATAAGACTTATTTTCAAATATTCATAACCTATCTAAAACCAATTAAAAATATATTTTAATTATCCATAACTTATCTAATGATATTAGTTAATTATCCAAAATCTTTTATTTTACAGATATTCATTTAAAAACGTGTATATGAATTAAGCCTCATTAAAAATTTAACTCAATTTCTAATTTCAAACAATTTGTTTTAGTTTTAATTTTTTAATTTCAATTTTTAATAAATCATACTCATTATTTTGTCATATTATAACAAAATTATAACTTAGACTAATTAATTGATTCAAAACTATCCTTTTGCACAAAATTAGTTTCCTCAAGTTAAATAGATTGTGAATATCCAAATCCTCAAATCCAAAATCAATCTCGAATATTATTTTTACTATTCATAATCTTCATATATCCATTTATAATTATTCAAAATCACTTTGTACGGGTTTCAATGATTCATATATCCTTACTTGGAAATAATAGATATATACTTAATAATTATTGTAAAAAGATGATCTCAAAGCTAGAAGAAATTATGCAAGTGAGGCAAGGGTGAAGACCAAGACTTTTGAATTTTGATAAAGAATAAGGATTAAGAGTAGGAAAAAACAAAAATACCTGCCACGTTTTAAACAATGAGAAACATATTAGGCTTGGATTCAAACTTAGGTGATTTTGGTAAGAATATAGTTCTTAAATTTCCATTGGCCTTCCTCTCTTGAGACTAACAAGTAATATTAATTTATGGAAAAGAAATGAGGTTTGTTAATTATTTGATGTCTTCAATTCCATCTTTCTCATCTTACCTTTTGATTTTTATCTCTTACGGGAGTTAAAATTTTATCCACTCCTAAAATTCTACTTAATCAGTAATCATGCGATTTGTGAGTAAAGTATTGAATTTTCATTTTCAATGATCATTATTTGATCCCTAATAATATAAAAATAAAAAATAATCCATTTATCGTTAAATTTAATGCGGTTTAATCAGTAGTTGGGTACTATCAATCTAATATTACACCATGAAAATTGTAATACAAGAAATAGAGGTCAGCAAGAGTGACGTTGAACCTGAGACTTTTGACTTTGATTGGGGAATTTGAGGCCAAAAATTCTTTGCGTCGACCATAACCGAGGATGTCGACTTCGTCTTGGACCATATATTTTGAAATAGATGGGTGTAATTAAGACAAATGTCAGTCACTTGATATGTGGAAGTAGCAGTTTTCAAGAGCTGAGATTTATGTTAATATATATTAATATAGTTCGTTTTCGTTAATTTAAAATTTAATTCCTATAATTATTTTTAAAAAATAATATTTAATAAATTTAAATTTCAAATTTCAAATTTTAATTCAAATCTTAATCTTACGGCTCATTTTTTTTTATTTTTAAATTGTGATTTTTCCTTTTACCAAAAATAAAGTTGATTGGTAAGACGGGAGAAGAGAAATCACTGATTAAGACATTATCTTGTTTGAAAATAGTGGAGATAACACCTCGAGTTTCCATTCTAAACTGTCCCATGTCCTCAAGAATTTGAAAATTTTATAGACTGTAATTAAGCAGACAAGCAACAGCAACTAATATTGACAAGAAATTGATGCATGAGATTGACTAAAATCCAACACATATTCCAGCCGCCTTCGTAATTTGGACAAGAAGCCTAGACTAGTAATAAGATTTTCTTTGTCCTAAGATGCATGCCATAGTACTTTAAGACAATTGGATCCATAAAAGAAAATATTTAATGCAACTTGCTCATAAATAAAATCTTATCATTGTTCTAAGCTTATAAGTAGTAAAGTAGGCCCTTAACAAAAAATCATCAAATTAACAAATGATTAAAATATATGTAGTTGGTGGTAACGATGAAGAATTGATGGTTGCCCATAGATTTAATTAATCCGAAAGGGATGTTCAATAATTGTTTGCTTAACCTCAGTCTAATTCTACTAAATGAATTTTTGCTAGTAGTAAATTTGTAAAATTATTTATATATGTTAGAATTGTCTTCAGCTGTTGTTTTCTTGTGGGGCATCCCGATTTACTTAATCTAAGAATCGCTAGCTAGTGATTCTGTTGATACATGTTTTATTAAAAAAAATAGAACAACTAGTGATTGAAACATATTGGCATACTCTCTGATTATTGAACCATTTTAAAGAACATAACTCTAATTGATTGTTAGTTTTGCCCATAATCTTTAAAACACAAGCTTTGTGCTTGTCCCTGTACTTGAACAATGTTAACGTCTAGATAAAACATTAAAAATAATTTTTTTATATAAAAAAAATTATAATTTAAAATTTTTAAAAACAATTACAAATATCAAAATTTGAACTCAGATTTATTGATGAGCTCAGTATTTAAAAAAATTTCTCCACTTTAAAAAGTAATTGAGTCTATATTCTATATTTGTAAATTCCCCTCTTCACTGATTTTTTTTTTTTAATTTTTAGCCTCCTTTGCATTAAAAAATTTGAACCACTAAAACATGTTTTTTAAGTTCTATTTGGTTAATTCTATTATTAATTTTTTTTAAAAAAATTTTTAAAACATATAATTAAAAAAAAAAACATAAAACAAATTGGATTCAATTTAGAGTTTAGTGGAGAGTCAAATTAAAGTTAAATTACACGAGCGATTTTTAGATTATGCCAAAATTTAGAATTTAATTCTTGCACATATAACATAATTCATATAAGTTTAGTTATCATATTATTTTGATTTGATAATTTTAAACGAATTACTAATTCTATTAATTTTTTATCATTAAAAATATTAATATGGCTGTTGATTTGATCAGATAAATGTTGATTGGATTAAGATTATCTATGAGAATTAAATTTAAATGAATTATAATACAAAAACGAAATTCAAAATTTCCATAAAATGCAACATAATTTGACCTCAAATCAAAGAAAGAATTGAGCCTCCACTTTGTCCCAGTGGCTTGTATGAATTTGTGAATCAAGGGACTCCCAAAAGGCATGCGCCCAATTCACCTAGTTAAGAAAATGGAGTTATAAATCAGCCTAATAGGCCCATCATTTTTGGTACCGGGAGAGAGTCTTTTCTAGAGATGGGAATGCCCAAAACAAACATGGCCTAAACTCAAAAAATGCTTCATCAAGTAATGAAAATTTTCCTTTGAGTTTGGATTGTGAAATAATTATAGGTGTGAAACCTAGTAATAGCATTTTTAAAGTGGAGCTGTCTAATTTGATCCAAACTCAAAACAACTATTTCCACCCGTTCCAATCTGAATAAATTATACACTACAAAAAGGTTTTTGGTTTCCATTATCTGTTGAGTTAAAAATTTTCTTTCATCGGAATAAATTATACTCCTTTCATCTTAGGATCGAACTCAAATCGATGATTGAAGTGTATTTTTTCGAACAGACACAAAATACAATACATGGGCTTGACTGATGACAAATTGGAGCATCCACTTCCGAGTCCAATTTGCCGAAGGCTTCATGTTAAGGCGCAAGTTTGGATTTGGAACGTAAAGCCAACTTGAGCTAGCCCTCACCCTTGTTTCTATATTCTTTCAGATTTTTATAGATTTGTCGAGTATTCATATTGTATAGATTCTCATATTTATATGTATAAAATATTTAAATCTAAATCATAGTATTTATAAAACTTACATTTACATTTATACAAAAAATAAAATGTATATTTTAATTTTATTAATCCTATTACTTTTATATCTTATTTTTATATTATATTCATATTATTATTAAATCCATCACCTTCTTATCTTATCTTTTTTATTTTATTTTCGTATTATCTTTTTATCTTATTATTTTCATAATTTTGTATTCCATTGCTGTTGTATCCTGTTTGTTGTACCGCTAGGTCTAAAATCGTGTGTTCTGTTTTTGATAATAAAAAATTGTGATCATGGTAATTTGTGAAAAAATTTCCTATAACATGTTATCCTGCACTTTCTTTTTTATTGTTCACCAAATGTTTGAAGGTTTTTAGTACGAAAATTAAATTTCTATAGCATGTTATCTGAGAATACATATCTAGAATTTGTCGTTTATTTATCAAATTAATCTATATTAATTATTTCAATATGTAACCAAATTCTTCTAATCTTGTCCATTAAATTTAATAATTCAATCAACTGGATAAGGAAGATTGAAATACCATTATATTTACAACTCAAAACTCAAAGCAGGAAGTTAAGAGGTCATCGTGATCCATGAAAGACCACAGCTCTCCCTCCGCTGAATGAAACCTCATAGGGCTGGGTAAAGGAGTTCCTTTCACTTCCTCAAACGGCAACACCGCCAACTCATCCCACCAAGCGAAGCATTCGGGACCATCATCCGACACAGTATTTACACTAGGTTCAAACCTGTCTCGGTTTCCAACCGGTTCCTGCAAAGCCGCTTTAGCCGCAGCGGATTGTATGTCCCTCCTGGAGTACGATTGTGGCCGGGGAAGCGACCCAACCAAGTCGGGGAAGTTAAGTATAGCCGACTCACCCTTCAAGAAGAACGCGGCCGAGTCATATGCTCGGGCCGCCATTTCTGGTGAGCCAAACGACCCCAGCCATATCCGAGTCTTTTGACCCGGTAAGCGTATCTCCGACACGTAACGCCCCCACCTCCGCTTACGTACCCCGCGAAACGGGGTGTCGTCTTGATCACCGGCACGTTTTTTGGAGACGCGCTCGGTCTTGGTCTTGTGCTTCGGTTGGGGCTTGGCAGCCGTGGGTGATTGAAATTTACAAGGCTCCTTCTCACTAACGGACATGAAAGAAGTGAGAACCGCAATCTATGTTATTGAAGTTTCAGGTGGTTGGTTTGGCTTGGTTAGAATAGAAATCCATGGCAAGGGAAGACATCATAAATAGGGACAGATTGGAGTGTAAAGAGATAGGAAAGTGAAGATAGCTGGCTGCGGCTGGCATTTTGGTTGTATTTGAGATTTTGATTGAAAAAGGACATGGATAAATGCACCCAAAAAAATAATAAAGGACATGAACAAGTACACACAAATGCATATAATTGTACCTCAACCTTCAAATTACACAACTGACCTCTCCATTTACTCACTACTTACTCACAAAGTTGTCAAAAATTAAATTTTAATTCTTGTTTAATTGAAAATTTGAAAATTTTTTAATATCTTTTTAAAAATATCAAATTTGTCAAAAATTTTATTATTTTAAAAGAAGAATTTGAATATGTTTTTGCATAAAAAAATACATATTTTTAAATTGAGTTAAATGCTCCTATGCATAATTATTAAAATTTTAAACTTTCACTTGGAAGTAATATATTGGAATTTTAATATAAAATTTTATCCGGATAAAATCTATTTCAGATGAGAAAATTATTATTATTTATAATTATTTTGTATTAAAATATGAAATTGTTTATTTTGTAGGGATGAATAAAAAAAAAGAGGAAGGATAAGGTGGTAATTTCAGAGGTAAAACAAAGTTGAAAATAGCAGAATCAATAAATATTGAATAATAAAGAAACGCGTTTAACCAGCTGTATAACAGTAAGATGTCATTATGATAAAGTCTACATCATCAATGGCATCATCATTTTCAGAATTGGGACTGTGTTTGACTTGACTCTCCCAACCATAGCTTATAGCCATGGGCTTAGCCTTAGCTTAGGGTGTCACGTCAATGAGCTCTATTACCATGAGCTCAAAAAAAAATTCCGTGGATTTAGTTCGGTTCAAAATTTTAAGATTTAAAATTTAATTCAAATTTCATCTAATTTTATATTTTATTATTTTAATTTGATTTTAAATTTATTTGAGAAATTTAATATTCGATTTGATAGATTTTAATAAATTTTATAAAATTATAAATATTTGATATTTTATTTTTATTATTTATTTATATATTAAAATATATTTAAAAATAAAAATTTAACAAAATTAATTATTTTATTTTCTAAATATTTTTGTAATATTCAAGTCAATATGCAAATATAATTAATCAACTAAATATGTTTTGGTAGAAAAATAAAATCAATAGACCAAGATGTATATTTGCTAACTTTATAAGGCCATAGACCCCCTTGAAGAGGCAGACCTAAGGATTCGCCCCTAGGTTTGCAACATTACTCGGTCAAAACGGAGAGAAAACAAAAATTAAGAAAAAGAAAATTCAATTTAAAATTATACGATTTGGATTAATTTTTTTGTTTAATTTAAATTAAATTTATATATTAAATTAAAATTAAAATATAAAAATCGAATTAAATTATATATTTTATTAATTTTATATATATTTTAAAATTTTTATAAAATAAAAATCATTATTTATATATAAATTTATTTAAATATATTAAAAATTATATTATAATAATATATAAAAATAAAAAATTTTTAAAATCTAATGAATTAAATCAAACTGAATCTATAAAATTTGATTCAAATCTAATCGATTTTAAAAAAGATATTAGTATAAATTTTAAAAATTTATAATATTATTCATTTAAAAAAATTGAATTAAATTCGATTGATCTAAATTATTATTATTTTTAATTATTTCATAAACAAAAATTATATATATTATATGATTTTTTTAAAACTTAAAATTATTAAAATTAAAAAAATATATATTTTATTAATAAATAATAAATCACATTATTGTTGATACTGCGAATGTATAATTTTTGTAATTATTATGTATATATAATTTTTTTTCCTTTTATATAAATGTCATGTGCTGTATACATGGAAAAAGCTTGCTCTCAACTTACTAGTCGTGGAAGATGCCGCCAAAATTGAAGTAGCACGAACGGAGCGAGAAGCTGATGAGGTGGCTAACATAGAAAACAGTAAAAATATATATTTAAGACAAGTGGAACAATTAACATTGAAAATCATATTGTTGAACAGTCAATTAAGCATAGGTATTGGAAAAGACTATATTTAAAGAGAGGAGGTTGACGATTTTATTGCTTCGAGTAGAGCAGTTCGAAAACTTGGCAAAATCACACGTATGTGTTTGTGTTTGAAGGTTGACACTTGACATATTATGTTTTCCTTTTAAAACAAGTTAAATGTTGCGAAATTGGTAATAGTAAAAAAAAAAAAAACTTACATTTACATGACCTATTTATTACATAAGAACAAGCTTGTTTAATTAAATTCAAATTTAATTCAATTAATTTATATAATTATTTTAAAAATATAATATTTATATTTTTTTTCATTTTTGAATTATGACTTTTTACATTAAAAAAAACTTTTTTAATTAAATTTTGACATGATTAATCCATCAAACTATCAACTCATAAAATTTTTACACATACGACCATACCCAAAACTAATCATGTCAATCTAAGCTAACTATAGTAAAATATATATGTATTTAACACAAGTAAACTTGCCTAAACCAAAAGTGATTTAGGCTACACATTTGAAGGTAGTTCCATCTCCTCAATTCTTCTTTTTTTAATTTGAATGTAAAACTTTCAAACCTAAATTTCAGGTTTAAACAGTTGACATGAGTTTTGAATGCAGCGAGTTGACTTTCCTAAGTGGTCAATGTTTCTGTAATCAGCATTGTCCAGCAGGCAAAAAATTTAGGATACTTTGGTCAAATGAACAATCACGAGAATGTCACCTTTTTTATGAATTAAGAATGCAATATACACTAAAATTAACCCACTTCAAATTTATCCCTTCACTTTCTCTATTTTTCCTTCAAAGAGAAAAGCATCAACTTGATCATTTCATGAGGCTGGCTAGCCCGTGAGTTTTGAGAAGAAAATTATTCGTCGGGAAGTAAGTAGCCTATAAATACAAGATTTCTGGTCAGTTTCCAAGCCATCCCGGCTGCAAGTTCGATTAGAATCATAACAATCATGTCAGTTTCACTTGAAGCTTTAGCAATGGCGGGGGTTGATTATGTGGAATGGGGTATGGATATTGAAGAGTGGGAGCGTGATGACGAGCAGCCTCCGCCACATTTACTGGCAGACGACTACGAAGAAGAATTCATGGAAGGGCAATTTGAAGAAGGCTGCGGTTGTAGCTATAATAAGCCAGAAGATGATAGTGCAAGTGAAAGAGTCAGTCATGAACTTTGCAATCCTGAAGTGGTTCAATGGAGGAGAAGAAAAATTGAGAATATATGGTTCTATTTCACGTCGATAGAAAAAATAATGCGAACCATGATAAAGCAATATCTTTAGCTACATTCTTTTTGTAACAAATTGTGAAGAATTTTTTGTCTTGTTTTTTATGTTTTTGCTGCTATTCTTTCATTGTTAAATTCTTTTCGTTACTTGTTCGTTCAATCATCAATGTCATATTGATAAAATTCGTAGATGAATTAAAAATAGCTTTAATTAATCAAATTTCTTCAAGCTTTTGCTTTTACTCTCTATGTTTATCGTCTTGATTTCTTTCAATTATTTTAGCAATTAATATCTCCTATATGCCTGTAAATCAGCAATGATCTTCAGAACTCTAAAGTGTCCTAGAGCTTATAATCCTTCGCCTTGAACATTTATCTTGGTAAAGTTCGCCGTGGAAAATTTACAATATGTAATATTTTATTAATGATTAGATCATGCATGTTAAATTTTGAGTTAATTAAAAATGTATTGATATAAAAATATTTTAATCAGTGAATATATACTAAAAAATATTCTCGATTAATATGATAAAAACATCATATTGATTTAAAATTTTACATGCATAATGAATGTAATTATATTTTAAATTTAACGATCAATTTGTTAAAATATTAATTGTACATAAAATTATAAAAAATATATAAAATCAATTAATTTTTCACTGATGTAACTCCCTCCATGCATATGTCTCTTCATATTTATATATAAAGAGAGGTTTGAATTAAATAGTTAAATTTATTGGAAGACATCTTGACGAGAGTATGTATTAGCAATCAAAATTAATCAAACCAATTCGTCAATCTTGACTTCTTTAGCTAAGTAGATGCGAGTTAATGTTCACACACCTTTATTACTACAAGCATGTGATATTTCTTCCAAGTACATATGTGAGTACTTCATTCCTTCTCCTATGCTCTTTCCGGATTGAATTTTCCAATAAATTTCCAATTACGGCTCAAATATAGATCACGAGAATGTCATTTTAATGATTTAATTAATTTAATTTCTTGCTAAATCAGCACAAGAGGGTGATTTTAATTATATCAACCTTCATTCTCTGCCTATAGTTTTGTTTTATCTCTTTGCAAGACGGTGATTTCCTTCAGCTAAGGAGCTGTGAGCCTGTAAGCCAATGTTCATACACCTTTGCTAAAAAAAGCACGTAATGTCTCTCAGTCCTTGTGCTTCATCCGAATTGAATTTTCTGACAAAATTCTAACGAGTACTCAAGCTTTCAAAGTCAAATTGCTTATCCGAACAAATCGTTCTAACCGGTTTTAATTTGGTTTTCTTGAGTGATTTTGGTTTAGGATTGTCCCAAAATATTGTCAAAACGTCGCGTCGTCTTACATAAATCAGCTATAAGCTGGCGTCATGGCTTGAATCAATAGAAAACTGCCTGTATAATCACGAGACTATTGCTTCCCTGATAATATGAGTAACCTCAACAAAACCCACCAAAAAGGACCAATCTTGAGAGTTGAAGAGAGGCCTGACCTGCATTTGATTTGTATGCTACCCGTGAAGTTTGAGAAGTCTGCATCCTCCGTTCATGGATCGTGCAAACCATAAATGCTTACTTGCTTTTAGTTGCTCGTACTATAAATAAGCTTTTAGTCATTCTTAGTTCTCAAAAAATTTATGCTATTTTGTTCTTGTTGCAAGAGAAAAACACAATCCTCGTAACTCATGTCAGTTTCAATAGAAGCTTTAGCAATGGCAGGAGCTGACTATCTTGAATGGGGTATGAATATTGAAGAATGGGAACAGGAGGACTTGGACTTTCC